ATAGAGATCAACATATTCTGTTATAATGACGCAAAACAAATTCTCACAACATTGGGACAGTTTTGTGAGTCACTGTACATTTTGGTAAACCCGAGGAAGAAGAAAACCGTGCTCTTCTAATGAAATTAAGAAGATACAAGCAACGAAAAGAGGAATCAGTCAAATTGTACAGCGCACACTGGAAACATCTTGTCAGTTTGCTGCCAAAAAACCACCTTACGGCAGGCCAACAGATACAACTATTCAACCAAGGTATCCTAAATGATGGTTTAAGAACGTCATTGATCACATATTCGGAAGTCAAGGATCTGGACACAATTGAAGCAGTGATCAAGAAAGCAATTGATTTAGAAACAAAAGCACGAATCAACAACTCGGACCAATTGCATCAAGACAAGGAATCGGAAGACACTGCGGAACCAATGGAGATTGATTATATCGGTAAAAATAAAAAAGCTTATAAAAAACATACTAAAAAGCAGTTTAAACCAAAGAAAGGTACAAATTATCGCCAAGAAACTCAACGTCATAACAATGACGATAACGCTAAGGAACCAGCACGTCTATACGACCGACATGGAAACCCTGTATGTGGACATTGCGCAGGAAAGCATCGAAATATTGACTGCAACAGACATCCAAAAGGCAATCAGAAAAAACCGGTGCACATGACCGAAGCGACATCGCAAGAGGAATCCATGGTTGATCTGGACAACCCAACAGCAATGGTCGATTCAATTCAAGCATCTGAAATTCTCCATACTGACAATAACAATACCAAGCTGGGAACACCCGTATCAATTCTCGAACTAAAAAATAACATAAAAATTAGCGTTTTATGGGATACTGGATCAATTCTCACGACTCTGGATCACCAGATTGCAATCAAATGCAATTTAAAAATCAATCCAACCAAATCAGTACAATACATCGACTTCAATAAATGCGTCAAGTGGACTATGGGAACAACTAAGTTAAAGTTGTTTGGAGACATCATCGAATTTCAAGTAGTCAAGAACACTGCAAGAGAAGCTATCATTGGCTGGGATACGATCAAAAAATGGAAAGCCAATATCGATTTGGAAAAGCACATTATTTTTATTACGGTTAAGGAAAATAAATTTGGTATAAAGTTTTTCACTAACGCTAGCGCTTCTGCTATTTTTAATACAAATAGTAAAGAAGCTAGAACTCAAGATATTCGGGACCTTCTTAAAAAGTACAAAAGAATCATCGCCAAGGACTCAAACAAACCTACTTCGACAAATCTGGTTAAATTTACTATTGACACAGGTGATCATCTGCCAAGCTATCAAGCACCGAGACATTATCACCCGGACATACAAGAACAAATAAACGCTAAATTTGACGAGCTAATCAAGAATGGTATTGTCTCGAAGGTCACTTTCACTGAATGGGGTTCACCAGTAACGGTCGCAAACAAACCGGATGGTTCAATTCGCCTTTGTGGCAACTATATCAAAATTAACGCTATAACCAATACGATTAAATATCCTTTTGTAAACTTACATCATGCACTACAATCTTTAGGATCCGCTCGTGTTTTTACAAAAATTGATTTAGCATCCGGATATTATCAAATACCTATATTGGAATCAGATAAAATCAAGACCACATTGGTAACCACCCAAGGCTCATATCAGTTTAATGTCATGCCGTTCGGACTCAAAAATGCACCCGCATTCTTTCAAGCTTTAATGGACAAGACTCTCGGACACCTTCGCTTCAAATGTGCCATCGCTTATCTGGATGACATTATCATCTACTCCACGGACTGGAAGGCTCACGTTATTGATGTAGAACAAGTTCTCAACAAGCTACAAAATGCAAATTTATCCATTAACATTAAAAAATGTGCATTTGCTTTAACTTCAATTGAATTTTTAGGATTCATTGTCTCACAAAACGGTGTAGAAGCTAATCCCGAAAAAGTTAAACCAATCCTCCAAGTACCCGTTCCCACCAACCTTAAAGAACTCGAACGTTTTTTAGGAATGACTGGCGTATATCAAAAGTTTATCTCAAGCTATCAAGTTATCGTAGAACCACTCAGGCGCTTAAAGAACAAGGACACTCCCTTTGTGTGGGGAAAGGATCAACAACTAGCTTTCAAGACACTTATTGACCAACTATGCAAGTTTCCGTACCTGAAGCAACCGGATTTCAATAAACAATTTGAACTACACTGTGATTCCGCAACAACAGCAGGAATAGGAGTTATCCTTTGCCAACGATACGATGGTCAACCATACCCGTTAGGTTTTGCATCAAGATCACTAAATATCCACGAACAACGCTATTCCGTCAGAGAAATAGAAGCACTAGCTATTGTTTGGGGAATTAAAAAATTCCGTATCTACCTTGAAAGAAAAACATTTATAGTTTATACTGATCACTCATCTTTACAGTGGCTATTAAATACTTCTCAAGACAAGCAACCGCGATTATGGCGATGGGTTATGTTTCTCCAATCATACAACATGAAAATTGTATACGTTAAGGGAAAAACACATTATGCAGCTGATCTATTATCAAGAACTACTACACCATCGGTCTCTAACATCAACCAACTCAATTGGGAAGAAGAACAAAGGAAGGATCCGGAGTTACTGGAAATAATACAAGACAAGGATAGGGAAGACAAGACCATCATAATCAAGAACAATATGGTCTATAAGCTTATACCAAGACAAAGAGCATTCAACTCCAATCATTTGTACCGAATCGTACCAAACCACTTGATCAAATTAATCTTAATGGAATATCATCAGTCCGAATTTGCAGGTCACACAGGCACCAAGAAAACAAAGGATCTTATAACAAACTCTGGAAATCTTTGGTGGAAATCAATGAACGAAAATATCAAAGAGTTAATTAGAAATTGCCAAATCTGTCAAAGATTGAAGGGTAACAAAAACAATAAACACAATTTAACTAACACGTCCGCAGATAAACCATTCAAGAAGATCTCGATGGACTATTTTGGACCACTTCCCAAAAGCGAACCACATGGCTATCAGTACATATTGGTGATTACAGTAATGACACTTTTTCAAGATATGTTGAACTTTATCCTACGTACTCAACCAAGTCAATGGAATTTGCAACCATATTTTACCACGAATTCATACTTCGACATGGCGTACCAGAGGAAGCAATTTGTGACAATGGAGCACCATTTGGATCAGAATTTTTCCAAGAAGTAGCAAAATTTATCGACACAAAAATCGAATACACACCACCTAATCACCCATCATCAAATGGCCTAGTTGAACGATTCATGAAAACATTAAGAACAATGATTTTGACATTTGTCCAGCAAGACAAAATCATCAAGCATTGGGACTCGAAGCTAAAAATCATAAGATTTACATACAACAACGTATGGCATTCTTCGATAGGATTTGCACCATTCGAACTCGTCCACGGTAGAATAGCAAGACAACCACTGACAACAACAAATGAAAACGACTTGCCAAAGTTGTATCGAAATACACCTACACCACAATCCAACTTTGCAAAACATCTTCAACATGGGTTAGAAATTGCATTCGAAGTAGTATGGAAAAATAGACAGCAATACACAAACGAATCAGATCAAGAAAGAATAGATTACAAGCAAGGAGAAAAAGTTCTCATATACAACAATCAACTATCTAAAACAAATAGGCCAAGAAAACTCTCACTCGACTGGTTTGGCTCATACACAATAACTGAAAAATTATCTGACATAAGACTGAACATTGAAGACATTACAACCAACAAGAAAATTTTCAACATTCACGTCTCTATGGTAAAACCGTTCTTTGAACATTCTGAATAACCATATCAAATAGTCAAGCTTTTATCCCACTGGGTTTTTAACGCGACTCTATCATATTATTATATTATCTTTATCATCATTTATATTTATCCAAATACTTATATCATTCATCTTACGGGGGAATGTCATGCTACGTAAACACGTGACAAACTATTATAAATAGCATCACTTTATGTTAATAAATCATCAGCCCTTTTTATCTCTTATAAAATAATAACTACACTCCGCTAGTTTTACACATGGAAGGAAAAAAAAGCTTTATCAACTCGTTAAAAAAGGCAATCTAAATAAATAGTATGTTTTTTTACAATTAGATTCCTCAACACTCTTTAATCTTTATGCCCTCTTCACCTTATCTTATGAAACTTTCTTTGCAATAAATATAGTTTGAAAAAAGACACATTCTACATTATAATGGTGCTTTATAGTGTTATGTAATCTAAACGTCAGTGTAACATAAATTTCTATATACGTCGATTTTTAGAGTGCATTTTTGGTCTTTGTATTGAGCTGAAACTTTGCATATATCTTTATGAAAGCATTAATAAGACTTGGTAAAAGTCCCAAAGTGTCTAAGTAAAAACCTGTTGAAATATAACAATTTATTGAATTTTGGTCGCCGTATATAAAAGGTATACAGATGACCATATACGGCGAGTAATTTTCGACCCCCTGGGATTAAGATCGTATTAAGCCACATTGCGTATCATGGTTTCAAGAAGCTATGGTCTTCGTTACAGGTTCATCCTGTAAAAATTGCGCTTTTAATCCTTGTTTTTATTTTTTTAAAAATTTTACTCGACATAGACAGAAGGTATACAAAGCCTAAAAAAGGAATAGTACTTCCTTCGGAAGTACCAAAATCTATAAAAGGCGATTTTTCAAGCAGGAAGGTTGAGAACAACTTACTAAATGTTAAAAATAAAAAAAAAACCCTTGACTTTAAAAAAATCATAGAAATAAAGAAAATCAATTTTTCAATGTAAATTGACGGGGATGGCCATCAAAGAGATGTTGTTTGGTTGGGTGGGGGAGGGTACCACGATTGGCTTGTCTTTAATCAATCTGACTCATTTAATTTCTTGATGCTCGAGCTTGGATACGAAACATTCGCATTGTCCTTTGTCTTCATGGTAAATTTTCTACAACTCATCCATTCATCTCGGGTAGCTACCAAGGTAACGCAAAGAGATCTCATGATTTGGAAATTTGTGACATCAGAGGGAATGATATCGTAATCAACCTGGTTGTTGACATAGAGGGTGTTGAATTTGTGACTAAGGCTATATTTAAAAATTTCTAACCCACAGAATTGAAAACAGCACATTTCCCTCTTGATGTCACTTCCCAGCCAGTCAATGATATCTTTGGTTTCTACTAGCAGTTTTGTATGGTCGAAGTCGAACTTTTGTATTGGAGGATGCATTCGACTAGCTTCCATTTTAATCATGTCGTACTCCTGGTGCTGTTGTCCTTCTTGTCTATCGTAAATGACGCGAACGTCAGCCTTCAGGCGGCTTGGCAACATTGAGCATGAGCTTTCGCCACATCTCAATCGTAAACCCGTGTTTTGCACAAGCTTTTCCAACAGTGGCCCCCAGAATTTGACAATAAAGTCTTGCTCATTTTTTTCAATATTTTTGTCAAACATGTATTGATTATGAGCAATAGATTCTGTAATAAAAGCATGGGCAAGCAGAGTGAAAGCTTCGTCTTGTGTTAACTTGCTTTTTTTGATATAAGTACTTGTAGATGTAATCACTAGCCTTAATGATATCATTTTCGGCTAACGACTCTGCTCTGCACAGCATCTTTTCGACTTTTGGATTCATAGCAAGTGGCCTTGCTTTCCCCTTTTTTGCAAGTGAAGTTCTCAGCTTTCTGCACTGATCAGGAGTGAATAACCCTGACTGAGCTTCTGAGTAATTATACGACAAATCCAAAATACTGTTTAAACCAAGCCTAATACGTAAAGTAGAAGTTAGCACTGTGTCTTCCTTTAAAGATATTGCATGATAATTTACTTACGTAATAGATTGCTTCGATGTATTATCTTGATAATAATTAGGATAGAGTGAGATAGCCGAGGATTTGATAATTGCACCCACAGACCTTTCCAATCCTTGTAAAAATAGCCCATCTTCTTCTTGTATCTACAATGTATAAATAAGTAAAGAGTGAACACTTAAAGAAGTGCAAAATTCCTTACCTCTGCAAGTTGTGGTGGTTGTAGTTGTGGTTGTGATTGTGGCTAGCTTGAGATAGTTTTACCCTTTTTATTTATACTTTCAAGTAAATCTGCATGATAAGTATTGTTGAAAATACATGCTTCTTTTAAAGAGCGCTTGAATGATGCTTCAGCCCTTAGGTCTTGTGGATCATTTGAAAGTGTCAGGAACGTGGCTAAGAATACATTATAGCAATAATATCAGAAGATACCTACTAGTTATACAAAGACAAAGGAAGAGTGGTTTATAAAGTATTTAATAATAGTAATAGATTATACAGGGAAGGGGAAGGATACAAGATAATCGACATGGAAAGGGGCAGTATTTATATCTTTTCAGATAACATGGGTTTGCATTGAAGAATGTCTTGGCTTACTTAATTAGTCTTAGTGTTGGTTTCAGCTTACGTGGCCGAAACCCATGAGTCATGATTACTAATTGCTTGGCGTCGGAGATACTTGGAAACGAGTCATGATTACTAATCTCTTGGAAGCGGAGGTTCATTGCGTGGATAGTCTTGGAAGTTTCTGGACACTGGTGTTGTTGAATCTCAGCATGAGATTCCAGAACATTCCAATAGTCGGGGATTCGTGGTCAGGGGCAAAGTGCAAAGTACGTGGTTCATGACACTGGGGGTTTACATCGTTAATGGAAAACAAAGCATTGTTGACCCAGCGTTTATCAATTCCGACATGCTTTTTGTTCTCGGAAACATGATAACTTACCAAGGCGTAGGTTAATTTTGGCAAATCATTGCGGGCTAACAACGAATGTACACGTTGCAGAGCTTGATATGCTTGCTTCACCTTGGTCTTCCTAATGTTTGCAGGATCACCACGTTGAAAAAATAGTCCCGAGGTTCCACCATATGCCATTTCAGCAAATTCATAGTTATGCGTCGCATACATGGTACCCTTCACCTCGTAATGACCAATTCTTCCATGGAGCAGCGTGGATTTTCTGTTATTTGCGACATAAGCTTAATTGGAGACAAAGCCGACTTCTCTCTATAGTTTAAGTCTTTAGTTTCAGGGATTAAATCTCCTATATCATAATTATTAGTCGATATTTAGAGCTGCTATTAAAGTTTTATATCTTACCAGGATACGTTAACGTGACAACGGCATCCTCATCCATCTTGAACGGCTGCAGACAGACCATCTTCTTGGTTACATCATTGGGATTTAACAAAGGGGTCAATTTCCATTTCAAACAAGGAAAACTGAATAAGTCTGAAAACCGGCGAAGCTTTTAATCCTCAGGATAAAGAACTTGCATGCAGTCACAGCAGTAACCATCGGGCTTGAGCATTGTAAACTCTTGGAATGAATTAATTTGCTTTTTTTGAAAAGCAATAAAGGTAGATAAATTTTGGTCTTCGATTCTCCAAGAGAAAAACATGATAATTTAATATATTGTTGAAGTCATTACCTGTGTTTATAGGGACAGTATTTATATTCATTTTTAAACACGTTCTTTAACTATATTTTTAATTCAATAACACCACTAAAAAAATTTTCAGATGTGATTCTTTTTGATTTCATTTTTGTTTCCATTTTTAAAAAAAAATAGATTTTACTTTGTGAAATAATGGACAACGTGATCCAAGTGAACAAAAAAAGCGCATGGCTTTGTCACCTGAGATTACAAAAAAAAAATACAAAGCCATTTTAAAAAACAAGTCGACATTAAAAAAAAATGATATTTATTATTGGAATAGCGGGAGAGGGGGAAGCGGGAGAAGGTATTAAATAAAAAAAAGCAAACGCAAAAGAAAAGAAAAACGCAATCACGAAAGGGACAAGCAAGAAGAAAAGAAGCAAAACTACCAAGGAGACTAAAAAAAAACTAGTTCTCCATTTCGTCTTCATCATCGGTAGTTCGGGAGCTGGCGGGGACGACAAAGATCTCAACAGAGAATGGCATGTGATCATTTAGCAGATTTCTGAGAGAGAGGTTTGGGTTGGCCCAATCCTCTAAACGACGAATACTCTCATTGTACAAATACGTACTCTTGATCACACGAGGAACAGGGCGGTTAGTGTTGGGGTCAGTTGTCGGACGTGTCACCGACTCCACAACAGTAACCGGGTTGTAATTGGACATTATTAACCCTTCAGATACTATCATAAAATGAAGTGGGAAAATTAGCTACATAATAACTTGTATATAATCAAAAAAAAAAAAACTCACCAAGCTTCTCATAAGAGGTATTTAACTGAGTGGCGAATGCTTCAACATTCAACCCCTTGCCCATCACCATGTCCTCGTTGTAAATGTTCTCAAAAACGTACCTGAGCTTCAGGAACTTGTGATTTTTCTCCAAATCACGGATTCGAATTTTTGTGGCTGTTGTGCCGATGATGTTTCCATCATCATCCAAGGTAGGAAGAGGTCGGGCACTATCGACACTCAAACAAATACTTGAAAAAGCCCTTGTGCTATCATCAAACGTGTACGCTGTCACGTACAATGGGCCTATATAGAAGTGTTAGATTTGTTAGGATAATAGAAACAATTAGAATATTTACCTGTCAGGTGGTGGCGGGTTCCCACATCACAGTACCGGATGAAATAGTAAATCATCGCAGGATTCGACACATAAAGCTTGACTCTCATGCCAGAGTCAATGGCTTTGGCCTCTAACATAACGTTTCGAGCTGTTACTCGAAATGTGAGAGCACTAGTAATAGTGCAATTGGTGAGTTCTCCAAGAAACATGTTGTAAATTTGTAATAGTTATAAAAATAATATGGTTCAATTTTTTATAAGTATACTTCCTTATATACCCGTAAGCATTTTATAAATATAGAAAGTTATTCCATCAATCGAAATTATCGCAATAAAATACAAAATTCACGAGGATCGATGATGTAACTAATGAATTATGTATAATAGATTAAGAATTGATCAAACCACGGGAATCACATCAGATGATATTGTCAATCAGTCAAACACTTATGCGTACGTTGGTGTCCTATGTGTCAGGTATAATATATTCTGACAAACAGTAGTTCAGAATATAAAATTTTCTCTTCTCTATTTTGTTTAATAATACAAAAATATGTCTTCTAAAGTTTGCAAGATTTAGTTTAAAACCAATAAGGACTAAATTGCATATATTGCATGGTCCGAGCGTGTTGGGTTTTTTTTATTAAAAATAAGGTATCACAAAGTCTCAAATAGCCTATACAATAAACATTACACAAATGCATTCAATGTATGTGCTACACATATGTTTTACAACAGTACCGTGTCACTGTTATAGCACAATTATTTTGCCAAAAAAAAAAAGACTTCGGTATTGGTTTATATATAATTCTAACGAAAGCAGGATAACACAGAATGGTGAAAACGTTCTATACGTACAGCAGAGGTGGTGTCAAAGAAAAAAAAAGTTGCCTGACATTTTTTTTATGGACCCTAAACTCATTTTTATTATGACAATAAAAAACCTGATATCATTATCAATCTATCATACTATTATTTTATGCAAATGGTTAGCAGTCATTTTTGAAAAATTGGATTTTCAAAAAAAAAAAATGTGATGATGACAAAGTTGTGGACTTACAGAATTAAATTGTTTGTATCCGGTATCATGAAAGATGTTGGAAGTATCTGGTGATGACAATAAAAATTTAGTTCTAAACGCACGTGTACGGAAGATCAATAAAAACCTTACACAATAAACACGCATGTAATACAATGCAATTGACCATAGACCTTTACGTATTATATAACACACATGTATTGACAAAGGAAAAAACAGCTTCAATATAATTTTTAAAATATGCAATCCATTCTTTCCACGTTTGTAGGGCTCCTGTTTCCCCATACATTACGAGTGGTTGAAGAGAAGGGGAACGTTTATTTTTTGCTTTATGAAGCATACTTTGGGTAATGTATAAAACTTTGGGTGTTTAATTAAACATTATAAACTTGGTTTAAAACTGACCAAGTTTTTTTCCGCTTACGTATCTAAAAAGACGTTACAGTGTAAAGGTGATCGGACCAAAAAATGTAATAGAGGACTCTTTCAAAGCTTATAATTCTTCATGGGATATCAAATATTTAAAGGAAAAAAAAGGATCCCATTATCATGGTTGCAACTGGTAACATGGACCAGCAACCAACGGTCTCTGGGTTTTTAGGAAGGGTTGTAGAAGAGAAATTTCATTTGGCAGTTATTGCACTAAGAATAATGCCATGTATTCCATTGGTTACAGAGACTTTGAAAGATATGGTTCATCCAGCCATAGGCCCCGTACAAATTACCAAAGGTTTTAGAGAAGGATATTTTTATGTAAATCTGTCACTCAATCAAGATTTTACGAATGGCCCTGAATTTTACGCCTCTAATACAGTGGATGAAGAGCTTGGTAAAATTTAGTTAAAATAGTGTCTGCACAAAATTTAATTAAACTTCTAATGTTGCATTTTATCAGATGATTTTGAATTAGAAATTCTTGAAAGGGATCAGAGAGGATCAGGTAAAGTTCATGATGAAGAAGACAAAATTGAAGAAAATACAACCAACAGCAATACAAAAAGCAGGACAAATAACCAGAATTTCGATGAAGAAGATGATGAAAATGAACCATTTTTCCCAGAAAATTATAACTATGACAATGCACGAAGATTTTCGGAATCCACTGCTGCTTCTTTGCAGTCGACAAATTTATAAGGACCCATTGAAAAGCCATTGACAGAAGATGAAACTTTTGTAGAAAATGTGATGACTGAATTAAATAATGAGAAGGGACTATTAACAGATCACATACAAAAAATAAACAGGGACATTATGGAACTGGATTCTGAACTTGAAGAAGCTTCTGACCACAATTACAGTGAAGATTCTGGAGGTGATCAATAATAATACATATCCACATATATTTACAGAAACTTGAGCCTTGTGTTAATACGTATATTTTTATTTTTAACCTTCATCAAAAAACATTTAGACGATAGTGATTGCTCCAACCAAACAATAACCGCGTCAAACCGAACCTCTGAAATAACACCCGCTAAAACCGTAGAGAAAGCACCCAAGAATACTGTTAATAGAATAGCATCTAATTTCACTGAGGCCGAATCTTCAAGAGAATTCAACTGTAAGTATTAAAAAATTATAAATAAAGCACCTCATTTTAATGAGAAAATTGTTTACATAATTATTCATCCATACATTTCAAAGTTTTGGTTATACAGGATAGTTTTTCGGACTCGCCTTGTATGCAAAGTTTTAGGGGAATGACATTGGATGAGAACAATACGATTTCCAAAGAAAACAGCAATGGGAAACAAAAGATGAATTTTAGAGTGAATACGGAAACCTTAGGAAACAGTGACTCTAGGTGTGATGTATCATTCAATATATTTAACTCCTTCAGTAAGATTTGACAATCATATATCACTTTGACGTAGAGAGCCATCGATAATGTCTGATATATCTATGACATCGGATAATCACCAGATTGAAAACAAAAACAGTATAAATTCAGATGCTGAAAGTACTAGTAACATTCCGCTTTACATTTAGTTGAATAAAGTGCTGGTTATTCAAATTGTCAATTACCAAATTATCTTTATAAATAGTTACTTCAGTTTCTGTGTACAGTCAAGAAAGCGGAGGGTCAAATTCCAGAAAACGAATGAGTAGATCTTTTGATCCGAACAGCCAAGAAGACGTTGTAAGTGTGTAGAATACAACAGTCTAAAGCAATTATCAATACTTACATTCTTATCAGTAGGGAAAACGAATAAAGTCAACTGAAACAATTTATGATGAAAGAACCATAGTTCAAAATGCTGTCGAAATGCGAGGAAGAGGAAGACCTAAAAAAGCTATTTCAGCTGAGCAATTTGACTTACCAGAAAAACCAAGAAGGGGAAGAGGGCGGCCATCAAAGTCGACTCATAATGAAAACCAAGGAACAATACATACTTTCTTTTCTTCTATTCCAAAAAAATGGATTGACAAACTATGATGTTATACTTACAACAAAATTATGCGTGACATAAACATTATCTAATTTTGTTACGCAAAAAAAAAAAAAAAAAAAAAAAAAACTAATGGCTTATGCCTGATCCAAAAATAAAACTTGTATATATAACATACTTTTGATGATATATATATATGTATATATATAAATATTACATTGACAAGATTAAAGACAGGAATCAGCCAAGTGACAATAATCAGCACACTTCTGCTATTAATTATAATAACTATATTTGTTTCGGCAAACCGATTTAGCATCTCTATTATTGCTACATGTTCACTATCTTTTTTTTGCTCGGTAGCATGAATTATCAAGCGTCTAGTGAGTGTGGGTTTAAAAAAGGAGCATCTTCTGAAAAAAGATCATAATTTAACCAAGAAAATGTTGATAAGACTTGATAAGAGTTGGTAAGATTCATTGCCAATAATTTTTGTATCATGGCCTTGATGTATTGCTAGCATTAAAAGCATATTGCTAGTTATAAGCTTGCCTTTTTTAAATTTGTATTTTGATTGCAATTGGTACCACAACTGTAATTTGTTATTTCAAGCTATAAAAATTAACATTTTGACACAGCTTGAACATTATGAGTACGTTTGATATAAAAAAAGCTAAACAGGCAGTGGATCCAAATGCGTACTTCTTTTTCGATAAAAATATGGAAAGCCTGCTAGTCAAGAAGACAAGACTGAAGTTATAATGTCTTCTATTTTTTAAGATGTATATTCCATAGTATTGGGACTGTTGAACCGTTTGGATGATATCGATAAAAATGGATCTGAAGAACTAAGCGACGGAGTATCATGTAAAATTTAAAAAACAAAAACACGATTGCTACTTTATCATTTCACCTAGGCACATAAAAAATAGGTATTAACAACCGTCAAGTGAAAAACCCCAAGAGATACATAAAAATTGTCACAGACGCAAGCTATTTTTCAGACACATCTTAATTTATAAACGATAAGAAAAAAGCTTGTACAACAAGCAGTGAGTTTCTGGAATCCCTATTGGCCATAAAAAAATAATCAGGTAATTTTATGTTACTAAGTGAAGTAGAGAATAACCCGGACCATAAGTGTACCATGTCATAATATTTAAGGAAATAAACTTTCAGAATAAAATTAAAACCTCTTTAATTGAAGCAATAGGAAAACGCCAAAGATACCCTATGAATGTATTCTAGCTGAAAAACAATTAAGGGGGAAATGAATGTTAGCTTGATTATGACTGATGACACGGACAAACTTGAATTTAAATTACAGACGGCAGTACAATAAAAAATAACTTTCGATCATCAAATCGATAATTTTTCAGCAGACAGATTGAATTGAGTATAATTTCTTTATTTGAATCTATTTAAAACAGTTAAATGTTTTACGTTGAGACATCTATTAAATACTCCAATGATTGGGGTCTGAGGGTTGAGCGCAATGTTTTAAAAGTTATTCGCCTTCAATTTTTAAGGAATTAAAGCACGAGTAAGGAAAAAAGCACTTAAAATCAAGTTTTAATATTTGTAGAATATTTGAATCAGGAAAAAAAATTATTGTCTCTTAACATCAGATACAATGAACGAGATAATTTTTTTCTCCCCGTTCTTTAGTAATACATAGAAAAAAAAGTTGGACAATGACTGATTTTATTTGAATAAATACAAATAAAGAAAGGTACTGTAGTACATATTCCCTAATATGCGAAAAATAAAAAATAATTAAAAATAATTAAAATAATTCATAAAAATAAAAAAATAAAATACTTCTGGTACGTTGTTTGGTTACAAATTTTTACAGAAAGTAGTTATTGATATATTGAACGAATATGCAAAAAGAAGAAGTAATTCTCATGAACAAAAAACGTTCTTATTTATGATAGTGTTTGTTTTATCGCAGATGTATTGAATCATAGAAACAATAGAAATCCAATATTAGATCTCAGTAGACAAAATGGAGATCGTAATCATGGAATGATTGTTATGAACGAATAAGAATACATGCATAAACATTTATTCAATTCAAATGGATAAACGATTGAATAGTAAATCCCGATTGGATCTACTATTAGTTTATACACAGTTTCGTAAAAGTATAAATACGAGCTCATTCAACTCTTAATAAAAGGTTATCTTTACTTTCATTATTTTGAAAAGACCATTTTGATATCTACGATATTACAGTGTTTGAACATTTTGATTTTCTTTAAATTTTTTTCTGATTTTTTTTTGAATTTATCGTGAATATTCCCATAAAAGGTAGAGGAGGGTTACAAATTGGTACAAAAAAGACGATTTTTTGGCTGCGTTTCGGCAATAACTAACAATATGGGAAAAAATCGTGTGGACGTCGAGGCTTTTTTTATATATATCTGTAATACGGGCTTTTAACTTAACACATGTTTTTGGCGTTCTTCACGGAGTATTTACGGAGTTAGAAAGCCTAAGGGAAAAGGGTTAAAAAAAATACTATGTCCAACAAAAACAGTGCTTAAAAATATCATCACTTTTCAGAAGTCACACTTTTTTATTGATTATATAAGCGAGTGATGGGCTGTATGTCCCGAACGGCCATCATGGTATCCATACTATAGCATTTACACGATTTAAATTGATTAGTCAGTGAGGGGCTGTAAGTCCCGAACGGGCAAACACAGCATTCATACTACAAGCATTTACATGATTTTAACTGATTAGTGAGTGAGGGGCTGTAAGTCCCGAACAGCAAATAAACAAAAACCTCAGTCCCACGAGAGGGCCGCAGGTCCCGATCGGCAGTCTGAAGAACGCCTAAAAAACCGGCCGGAGGTCGGTTTTTTTTTTATTCTCTCCTAAGATGTAATCCAGGATTTTATTAAGTGTTTTCGGTGAACGGATACCGAATTTAAGGACGGTTTTGCTCATCATGTAAAGCGCAGATATGGAAATAAGTATGGAATTTTGTTGAGGATCAGAACTTGCATCAAGATTTTTATTGAATTGAGGTAAAAAAAAAAGAGATTTGAATAAATTTAAAAATTGGTTTTGGACTTTTGAATTCTGATAATTTCAACGGCATCATTGTCAACCCTGAATTTTCTTTTTATCAACAGAGGTGTTTCGGCGCCAAAAAAATAGAAGTCTTCCGACTTTCTAACTCTAGACATGGCCACGTATAATTGTCCATGAGACATCATGTTGTTCAAATGAATTCCAACACAATCGATTGTTGCGCTTTGAGACTTGTGGATGGTCGATGCAAAGGCTGGGACAATTGGGAATTGGGTCCTTGTGTAACTGGTATTAGGAATTTGACGGCTTATTCTTTGGATCCAATAAATGGAATCAACACCATCGGGAAGTCGTTTTCTCAAGCATATATTTTCTTCTTCCATATATTCTACTGCTGTGATTGTACCATTGACCCATCCTTGAGAGACATTCAAGTTATGAACCAGCATAACAGGCATGTTATCTTTTAGCATCAAGGTCTCCAAAAGTCTTGTTTCCCCCAAACATATTTTGGCAGTTCTCTTGCTACCAACATACGAGTCACGGGCCTCCAGTTCCATACCCTCACCAGGAAAGTCCTTGTAATCCTTGTCGTTGGCCAAGCGCACTCGATCTTTTGTGGTCTAGAGGCGTAGGCAGTACAGCGGAAGATCGACTTTTTGAATTGCCATTTTGTTGATAAATTGAATAAGGGTTTCATCAAAATTGTAATTTCTAACTTTTTCCAAGATTTCAACAGAACCGGTTTCTTTTTGTCTGACAGGTTCGATAAGGTTGTATCTGTTGGACGTTGTATATATTTCAGATTTCCAAATGAGACCCTCCATTTTCTGTACGGGGAGCAACTGAGCGATGTCGCCGAAAAAGACAGTCTTGATACTACCCATGCTACTTGAACGTTGGGTCGTCTTGCTCAATGCTTCACTGATGGACTCCAGACGTTTTGAGCTAACCATCAAATATTCATCAATAAGAAGAAGTACCTTTGGGTAAAGTTTGATGTATTCGTCTAACTTAAGGTAATTCGGGACAGAGGAGCGATTCTGTCGTGATCGAGGCTATATACTTAATATATGACTCTATCTACACTTCTTAAATCTTTCATTTGATAATCCGAAATATAATTCTTATTGATACTGTTATATTAAATACTGATCATTTACTTTATGTACAGGCTTGATCTCATATCATCCTTCATACAAGTATAAGACATACATTTAAATAATAACATTGATATGAACACATATGAAGGTTACATCAGCCACATTGAGGTGCCACAGCTATCTGAATTAAGAACTACATTTTCCCCTGAATATTGTGCTACAAGACATACACAGTTTAAGAATGAAGGTTATTGTTATTGTTATTGACATCTCATTATGGCCTTTCTATATGGGATCATTACATCCGAGTATTATTTGGATGAATCTACCCACGACCGTCATCAGCCCATCTGTGATCAATGTCTGAAATAATGTGTATATAAAGACCCCCTTTTATTTGTTTAATAAGGCCTTAGTTAATTTTTGCAAGTTTGATAATTTTTCTTGTTTTTATTTTTATAAATCTACACCGATTTCCACAGATTTGTAATACCAAAGAAACGATGCAAAGTCTCACCAGAAATGTTGTGGGCAGCTACGCCGGTGGGAGCAAGCTTGAAAACCTTTAAAAAAAAATTAGATATTTGCAGATCATGTTTATTCAGTATTTACTTATTTGTATCCCTTCAGCTTGTAGTGCCTTTCTAGCATCCGTAAGACATACGACTTTCCTGTACCTGCGACAACAGAGACGAAAACAGTGCAGTTGTTTCTGAGCTCATATACGGTTTGCTTATAAACACTCTTTTGGCTAGTGTTTGCCCTATTAAGCATGGTAATTAACTCTTCGCGACAAACATGCTTGCCTCTTTCAGCATCTTCGACATCGTTGACCGATTGGACATTCATTCTTCTGTGCACTTCAATACCACCTTCTTCAAGATTGATCAGGTACTCATAATAGTCTTCAAATTAAGATACAGTGCATCTATTTTATAATGAACAATTTTTGGCTCCAATTTTTTTAAAAAAAAGAAAAACGCTATCTCCTTGATGAATTTAACATGTATCAAAAATCTGTCTCTATTATGTTCTTTATTAGAGAGTTCTTCATAAACTGATAGAGCACGATTTGTTTCTTTTCACACAAAATGTTTTACAGATGGCAAAACAAAATTTGCCATTTACAGTGGCGAGACCCAAAGATTTCCGGGCGGTGTTTTACAGTGCAAAAAATCATCAAAATTAATCAGAAATATCCCGGTTAAACGTTTTCCCAGGATAAGTTAGATTCCTCTGTCAAAAAATCCAGTGTAAAAAACGGAACTTTAAGTTCTGAAAATGTCCGTTTTAACGAAAATTGTTCGTTATAAAATAGATGCACTGTAATTTAATCTTGCTATTAGTACAAATAACGATCTTCTCTTTATTTCGTAATGATTCCATTACAATGTTGTAGAAAGATTGCATATCATTACTGTACATAGTTACCAACTTGTCACTGTGATATTTATATGTATTTTTGGTATAAATAATATTTTCTCTATACTGGGCTATGATATTTACATAATCTTCGTTTAACAAGGCATCAATAGCCAATACTTTTGTTGATGTAGAAAGTAAGTGTTCCAAAGCACTTACACATTGTGATTTGAACTTTTTTACATAGGTGACAATGTGCTCAAAAGTGAACGTACATTCATCCATGACCAGCATGTCTACTTCACCACTGATTCTGTATAGCGAATCAGCTTGAATAAGTCTTTTTTTATGAGCATCCAAGTCTATTTTTTTATCTTTAATATCTGTATAGTATTTGAAACCTGGTAACATATTTCTGTATTCTCTCAACAACGACCTGCGAAATGAGACAATGGTAATTTTTCTATTTTTGTACATTTCGTCTAGCAATTTAATTAAATTCTTTGTTTTGCCAGATCCCATAGCTGATTGTGTGCATATTGTGTCATATTTCATAAAATCAGTAGCATAGTCGCGTAGTGTCTTAGAGTTGTATTCTTTTTTTTTGTAATCCATTTTTTAGTTTTATTATTGCTTGATTGAGTTTTGAGTGTGTATTTTTTAAAATAAATTATTAGGGGCGCTCAAGTGATTTCTGAATTTCAAGTTTCAAATTTCAAGTTTCTTTTCATAAATTATATTGGCTACTTTTTTCTTGATATTTTTTCTTGATTCTTGACGCTAAAATAGCATCAAGAAATTTAAAGTTCAATCAAGTTTCGTATTTCGTCCAATGATATTGTAGAATTCCAAATATGATGTAAAGCCCATCATGCATGACATAATTAATTACTTTAGTTCTTTCATATTACCATTCGTTTTCCATTTATCATGCCTCTTTACTCAGAAAAACAAAGGAATATAAAAGCTTTAGAAAGACTTATGCTTTTTTACGTTAAAAAGTACAATAAACTGATCGAGTCTTCGGATGACGCAGATCTCAACAAAGAAGATTTCGAAGAAATCACGAAGACGAAAACGATTCTGGACGACATGGGAGCTGCTTACTTGGCCCTTAAAACCGAAAGATACAGCATAAAAAAAATTGGGGTACACGTGTACGTACTGGTACATATCTCGATTTGTTACATGAAGGCAGAGAAAGCATTTTTAAAAGCAAAATAAGAATGACTAAAGAAGCCTTCGAAGAAGCTGTTGAAGTTTTTGGTGATTATGGGGACTTTGAGTCATTTTCACAAGAAAAGATTCGGCTCCACTTCTTGATCACTTTCCATCGATTGGGATGTGAAGGAAACGCTGCTTCGACAATGCAGGTATCTGATTATTTTGGCATTTCTGGTTAGTATACAATTCTATTATATCCTCACATTTATTAACATGTAATATATACTGAAAATAGAAGGCACTGTTATAAATTACACCAAGAGAACAATTAGAGCTATTTTAGCAAAAGAAAAACAATTTCTGCACTGGCCAGACAAAAATAAACGATGTATTATATCAGAGAAGATCAGCGAGAATAGCTCCTTCCGTTCTTGTGTTGGATTTGTGGATGGTACATTCATCAAGCTGGAGCGTAGCCCTACCATCCAAAAAAATGAATTCTGGTCGTATAAGCGTGCCTACGGTATTTCCACTATGCTTGTTTGTGATCATAAACGAAGGATTCGTTTCTATGTTACTGGATTACCTGGTGCTATTCATGATAATAGCGTTTATCAAAATTCGGAATTGGCAGAATTCCCTGATAACTATTTTTCTCCCGGTGAATATATCTTGGCCGACAGTGCATACAGAGTCTCTTCGACTGTCATTCCTTGTTACAAAACTGGTTCGACTCAGGCTACGAAAGAAGAAATCGAAAAATTTAATCTAGAGGTAGCTCATACTCGCGTTGCAATTGAGCACTGCAATGGAATTCTAAAAGGAAAATTCCAAAGTTTGCAAGACCTTAGAATTACAATCAACACCGATGAATCATTGATAGAAGCAGGAAATTGGATTCGAGCCTGTTGTGTATTGCATAACTTTCTTTTGTATGATCCAATTGATTTTGAAGAGTACCAAAAAGTCATCAACAAAGAAGCCCAAGAGACACAGAAAATCAATCAATGGAAAATGATGATATAAATTCCAAAAGAAATCAACTGAAAAACGATATTTTAAGTAACAATGCTTATAGCCATTAAATGTGTTTATTAATCTTGAATAAAATCATATTTTTTAGTATCGGCTATCATCATTCTGATTTTTTCACGGTCTTCATCTCCTATATCTTCACGGCGAAGTTCATCTTTCAACTTAAGGATATAATCAAATCGCTTTAATCTCATATCCTGATCATGATGGTCTTTCTGTTTTTTAATCAATGTGACATATTCTGCAGAAGACTTTGATTGTTCGTCATAGTATTCAGAGAGTACGTCTGTGATGCTCCTTTTTTTGATTCTATTTTGTCTGTTCAATAGGATGGGTGGAGAGGCCTGAGTACCTGAAGGTGCAGACACAGGTGCAGACACAGACGCAGACACAGGTTCAGACACAGACACAGGTTCGGACGCAGACACAGGTTCAGACTCATGTTCGGACACAGGAAAAATGTCATCTTCGTCCGCATCAAAATCGTTGCTACAAGGGCTCATTGATCGAACAATAGCAAGGATTAGCGTTGGCTTCCAATACTGGATTCGCACTTGATTGATGTCCAATACCGGTAACAAGTCGGCTCGATCCAAACAAAGGGAGCAAATCGTAGTACCATTTGAACAGTTTAATGGTTTTCTCTGTAAGTTTGTTAATAAGGTAAACGTGGTTAACAGGATGTCGCAATTTATTATTTAGTTTTCATACCTCTAACAGTGATGTTGCCATCAGTCGCAGGATCAATACCAAAACCAGTTGAATGGATTGTATCGTACGTGGCCTTAAAGGTTGTTTTAAAGTACCTGATTGTCTCCTTGATACTCTTTTCGTTTCTGTCGATATGTCCTTTATTGATGAGGACCTGGCGTAACTCGTTTGCCAAAGTTGTTTGGTTTTTGGTTTCTCCTGGTTTTTGCTTTCTACTTCCAGTGTACAATTCCCAATTTTTCCCTTCCAACATCCATTCAACAATAATGTCCTTGGAACATTTTCCATCCATGTCGTAATCATGAATCCAGCTGGTAGGGTTGTACTTTTTGGCCCTAATAATTTGAGCAGTAGCAGAGGTGCTGCCCTGAGGATCAGGTGTTGGAGATGAGCATTGAACTTCATTATCGTCAGGACGAGGTTGAATGTTAATTGGTGTTTGTTGCATAGTTAATAACTTATTTAGATGTTTAAGATGGAGAGAATGAAAAAAAAACCTCTGGTTTTATTTATATAAGAGCTACTGTCATGGCGGATACCAAAAAGTGTCTCTGAAATGACATAAGGTCTTTGTTAGTTTGGTTTTTCTTACTTCATATCATCATTTGTACCTCAGGAACAGATTACATCATTTGTAAGTCCTCCTCCAATTGTATTCGACCTTGATTTTGAAATCTTGAAAGTTAAAAAAACTACACTCAAGTAATAAGTTTTTTTGCGTACTTTTATTGGTTAAAAGAAAAAACTTGAAATTAGGAACTTGAAATTTAAAAATCACTTGAGTGCCCCTATTATATTAAATCTTTGGGGACTTATATTTTAAATTAAATAAAAATTCAATTTTAATAAAAAAAGTATGCAGGTCAAAAATTAAAGTTTAATTTTTTATTCTTAAAATTTATTATCTATACTCCTCAATAACGACAGCTTTAAGTTTCTTAATAGGCTTATGTCTTAATTCAATATCCGCAACTTCCGCAGATTCGTACTCGATCTCCATATCATTATCATCCAAGTCTATGTCTAAGAATTATTCTTGAAGATGTATCATCTCGTTATATTTTTGATCATTCTTGGCTTCGTTCAAGAATACATAGTTAATTCTATTTACCCTTGTTGGAAACTCAAAGTCATCATTATGCCCTAACATATGGTGTGGCTGTACCTCCACTTGAAACGTTTCTACGAACCTCCAAATATTGTAAAGCAAAATAGACACCTTATATTGATGATTGTACGTTTCGATTCTCGATATCTGTAAAGCTGCTTTATTATTATTAAACCTATCAAACTTCGAAGCCAGCACAGAGAACAAAGCCTCATTACCAGATCTAAATGCAACAAACTTAGTATTATAGATAAGCTCAGTAGAGGTTAGATTGATACCCGATTTCTTTCTAACAGGTGGACTATAGTTTCTATCCGAAAAATCAAACCCTTCGTTTGAGCTAATTTCTTTAAACTTGTTTAAAAATAATGTATATCCACCGTCAGCAGCAGTGCAATCAGCAATGTGCATCTTTTTTTGCAAATTCATTTTTGTAAACATACTCCCATCATTACCAATAGCACATCTCTCACTGTTGGATACAAATACTACTATTCCATTGGCCTCATTTACAGTTTGAGTTCTAACATCTGGCGTTTTAAATTTGTGTGAATAGAGACTATTTCTACCAACATCAGGGTTATTATACTTAGTTTTGCTATCGTGACCATCAATCAATAGAGTAACATGTTTGAATCCATCAGGGTTTGTTAACTTCGATGACAGTAATCGAATTTTCAAATTTGAGAACATGTTCATATCAGTCTTCACAATCTTTTTTATCCTTTTGACATTAGCCTTACTTATCCAGAACCTTTTATACAGGTCATAGAAAGTGGTATAGGGAATAAACTCTGACTTATCAATACCAGTTTTGCCACTAACAATTTGATATAACAGGAGAAGTCGTTTATCAACTTCACCATATGGACCAGCATATTCACCATTACCGTATAATACCACGAGGAAGTAAAATACAGGGATATACCCTAGGATATTCAACAATATATCTTTCACCTTTCTCATGTTTACCTTTGTAGATTTGATCTCTGTTCTATGATTGAAGGTATTGACAATCAGTGGCCATTCTAAATTAAGAAATAACTATTTGTTGGCAACCAACTTGTTAATCTCAGTCTGAAGTTTTTCTTCATACATTTCGTTTTAAATTTTTAATAAATGAAAAATCAAATTTTGACCAGTTGTCATAACAAGTAAAATTCATGAAATCGACATCCTGAATAAATTATCTTATGATAATATAGTTAACTGATGACATCGCGATATCAATTGGTATCGATGGTTACTAACAGCTATCGATTCATCCTCATAAGCGATTTTTTTTATTCGCATCCCAATAAAAATTGCTGAGAATAGAATAGTATGCAACACATCTGTCTGATCCACAATCGAGAGTCTAGATAAAAGTGAAGAAGATCCCATTTATAACAACATTTTTTTTTATGTACACGAATATTTAATAATCAGAAAGCATCATACAGAATGAGCGTTGTATTTTGTTATTATTTTTTATGTCTCTTTTTACTTTTTTGGCTTGAATATATTGATTACAAATATCTTAATGATATTGTACTCAAAAAAGTAATTAGTTTAGATGTATCATTTTAAAATCTAGTGTAATAGACATCATCATCACAGTACTGATTGTACACAGAAAACACAATAAGTGTCATTCGGCAACCCAATACTCAAGTTTTTGTGGTATGTGCAACAAAAACACAATTTTTTTAATGCATTCAGTTTTTCAATTACTTTAAGAAAACCGGAAATAGCACTCATATCAGCTAAAAGAAAAAAAAACCAACCAAGAATATCCAGTGATATTCATCATATATTTCAAATTTATAATGTGGCAGTTGTAAAAAGGAAAATACATAAAAAAAGGTTGCAGTTTGTATTGAAAATTATATAAAATTGTTCCTTGTGAAAAGTATCAACATTCAACGTGACAATAACTGATGTTACAATACTCTTTGAGCTGTCCTCAAAAAAGAACTACGTCAGCAAAATTAGTTTGACATTGTATACTTTATTTCTGAGACATACGTCAACAAAATTAGTTTGACATTGAATATTTTATTTATGAGACATACCTTATTGAAGTTGGCTACGTTTTTTTCAAAAAAAAAAAGAAAAAAAAAAGGTACTTGATTTAGCACAAAAAGGTGTGGCAAATTTAGACATTTAATTATCTCAAGCGGCCAAGAACGTTATGGCACAAGACCTCGAAAAAATACAAAGTTGGAATCAATTATCTGTAAATTAAATAAATTTCAGTACTCTCTAATAATATAGTATGTTAAATATCTGCCAGTACTTAACCCAAGTAGTATTTAAGCCACTACAAATTGTTACTGATGAAAAGATCAACCAATCAAAAAATGTATTTTGTCGTATTTACTCCTATTAAACCGAATATAATTACAATTCAATTTGTCTGATCGTTATAATATGTCATATGTTGTAGCAACGATTCTAGTGAATGTGATTCCTAGCGTCTAAAGACACAATACCAGTACAACACAACATTCACTCTGTGATTATAATCTAAACTTAATCCAAGTTGTTGTGTAACTGTGGAATCTTACTATACATATACTTTGATCAGGAACTCTAATCCTTAACTCTTGTTAAGGAACCATGAGCTGTTTCATTTATATAAAGGTTCTAGACATAACATGGAGAACCTACGTTACAGAAGTAATACACTCCATCTTACGTTGTCATTGATTTGTACCTCAAGTTAAGGTATCACTATCTCGTGTAAAACCTTAATTAGAACTAAGCAGAGAATCTACCTGAAGTTATAATTCGTATATAAAAGGACCTCTAATTTTATTTATGACAAACTCTCGAACTTATAATAAAGGGATAAAGAGTCTCATTTCTTATTCCGTCTAAAAAACCCATACACATTTACTTTTATATACGCAATTATCACATATTATTATAAATTGGTTGTTGGTTTTAAGTGGTTTAAGTAGGAGTTTGTAAAGTTTGTTGTGAGCACCAAATTAAGTTATTAGGTTTGATTACGCCTTTTTATGTGTAGTTAATTGAAGTAGACTTTAGGAAAGTAATAATACTGTTTGAACTTTTACGTCAAGTTGAGTATAAATATAAGTAATCAATAGTTTTGATTTAGGATGATAGATAAATTATGTCTTCAAGAGTAGAAGAATAATATATAATAGTTAAGAGATGGTTTACTTAGACTGTTTGAAGTATGTATGTTTCTTTTATCAGATGTCTACTATACAAGGTGTAATAATTTATAGAACGTTTCTTTTGACAGAGGTTTTCTTATAAATTAGAATAAACAAAATAAATGGAGGAACTTAATTTCGACTGTTTAAAGTATGTAGGTTTCTTATTACAGAGGTTTACTATACAAGATAGTGCTATATATTGAAGGTTTCTTGTTAAAGATGTTTTCTAATATATAAATAAAAGAGAAGAAAAAAGGAAGAAAATAAAAAAAGGAAAAGAAAATAAAAAGATAAAGAGCGATAAACGACTCTGAAGGAAATAAGTATTAAATTGAGATAAGAGAAGTCTGAATTTTATTATTTGAATTTTGGAAGGATATTTATGTTTGTTATAAGGGCTTGTGTGACCACATGTTGTTTTTGATAAGGGATTTAAAGGGTGTTACAAAATCGCAAACTGGATCTTTACAATATTTGAATTTATCCAAATCGGGAACGACGTCTAAAGTAATTAATATATAAAAATAATAGGAATTAGGAATTGTAAAAAACGGTCACAAAGTTACGAATTTTTTGAGGGGGTGCGGGGGTTTCCCCCGCAAGAGGGGTGGGGGGTTTGGGGGGAGGGGGAACCCCTCCACCCAAGAATACGGCCCATATTATTTGGCATTAAATTGTTACCTTCTGAAAAACAATATTCCTTTTTTTTTTACAGCGCTGTGTTTTTAAAGCATGATTTTTTTATGGCGTAATATTTCTGAGCCGAGATACAAAATTAGAGGATGGGAAAACCACTCCTCCCAAGAATACGACCCATAATATTAAACGTTAGACTAAAAAAAAGATCGTATATAAAAACTGATTGTTTGGAGAAAGTCATAATATAAAAAGTGACTTTTACGGAAAAAATCATTGCAAATAAAATTGTTACTATGGGGTTTTCGGGGAGGAGGTTACCCTCCGGCCCAGTATAACAACCAATAGTATTAAGCATTATATTATCGAGTTTAGAGAAACAGTCTATGAACACTTTTTCACAAACAATATGTCATTATTCGAGAACAACTGGAAAATTGATTGTTTTAGGTCGATGAAGGGGTCGCCTTTGAAATTAATATTTTGGATTATCAAGTCTTTCATTATGAAACAAAAACACTGCGCATAGAATAGCTAATCAGATAGATAAACAATTAATACTTTTTGCGTAGATCAACTTTCCTGCCTGGGTCTAGGGATATCGTCTTTTTCCAGATATTTATACATATATTGAGAAAAATCAAAGTTTTCTCCAGTATCAAACTAATAATAGGCAGTGTAGCTTAAGTTATAATGGTGCATGGGCTTCATAGTTAATTAATATATGTTAAGTTTGTTATTTCAAAAACAGGCCTGCGGCAGCACGAGGCTTTTTCAAAGCGCAGCGTACCGAACCATAGTGCAGGTCAAAAATTTACCGCAGCGCAGCGAAGGTCAAATTTTTACCGAAACGGAGGTTTGGTTTGAAAAAGCCTCGTCATAATAAAATATAAAAAAAATAAAATGAAATACTTACACCGTCCCATTCAAGTTTATATTTTGATAGACAATAGTTCTATTTATGATAAATTATTGAAAATTACTATGATGTCAAATCTGATTTAATTAAAATTTTCTTGCGAGTTTTTAATATTTTTTAACGATCTAAATCAATTTTTGTGTATTTATCATATATTTTACCTAAAGATGGTAACTAAAGCTTACACGATTTGTTCAAAAAATGAGCTTTTTTTGCAGTATTCCGGATATAACTAACAATATGTAAACTTTGTCCTGAAGTTTCAGTCTTTCAATACAGACTTGTATCAAACAATGTAACAACGAGCCATGCTTTTTATTTATTTTAAATAAAATTTGTAAGCGTAGACATTATTTTTTTTATTTCCCATATTCATAATTGTTTAAGCTCTTTACTTTTCAATGTTTTTTGTAAGTACAAAAATTAATTTAACATAAGAACTCCTGTTTCTTAACAATAAATAGAGCTCTAGCAACAGTAATATTAGCGATGAAAAAGTAAATGAAATGAATAACCGTAGTTGCGCAATAACTGATTGTCTGTTACTAGAATCTTTCAAATGATCCACAAGACCTAAGGGCTGAAGCATCATTAAAGCGTTCTTTAAAAGAGGCATTTATTTTCAACAATACTTATCAAGCAGATTTACTTGAAAGTATAAATAAAAAGGGTAAAATTATCTCAAGCCAGCCACAATCACAACCACCACAACTTGCAGAGGTAAGGAATTTTGGACTTCTTTAGGTGTTCACTCTTTACTTATTTATACATTGTAGATCCAAGAAGAAGATGGGCTGTTGTTACAAGGATTGGAAAGGTCTGTGGGTGCAATTATCAAAACCTCGGCTATCTCACTCTATCCTAATTATTATCAAGATAGTACATTGAAGCCATCTATTACGTAAGTAAATTATCAAGTAATATCTTTAAAGGAAGACTCAGTGCCAACTCCTACTTTACGTATTAGGCTTGGTTTAAACAGTATTTTGGATTTATCGTATAAGTACTCAGAAGCTCAGTCAGTGTTATTCACTCCTGATCAGTGGAGAAAGCTGAGAACTTCACTTGCAAAAAAGGGGAATGCAAGGTCACTTGATATAAATCCAAAAGTCGAAAAGATGCTGTGTAGAGCAGAGTCGTTAGCCGAAAATGATATTATTAAGGCCAGTGACTACATCTACAAGTGCTTATATAGAAAAAAAAGCAAGTTAACACAAGACGAAGCTTTCACTCTGTTTGCCCATGCTTTTATAACAGAATTTATTGCTCATAATCAATACATGTTTGACAAAAGTATTGAAAAAAATGAGCAAGACTTTATTGTCAAATTCTGGGGTCCACTGTTGGAAAAGCTTGTGCAAAACACGGGTTTACGATTAAGACGGGGCGAAAGCTCATGCTCAATTTTGCCAAACCGCCTGAGGGCTGACGTTCGCGTCATTTACGATAGGCAAGAAGGACAACAGCACCAAGAGCACGACATGATGCAAATGGAAGTTAGTCGAATGCATCCTCCCAAGCAAAAGTTCGACTTCGACCATACAAAATTGCTAGTAGAAACCAAAGATATCATTGACTCGCTGGAAAGTGACATCAAGAGGGAAATGAGCTGTTTTCCATTCTGTGGGTTAGAAATTTTTAAATATAGCCTTAGTCACAAATTCAACACCCTCTATGTCAACAACCAGGTTGATTACGATATCATTCCCTCTGATGTCACAAATTTCCAATTCATGAGATCTTTTTGCGTTACCTTGGTAGCTACCCGAGATGAATGGATGAGTTGTAGAAAACCTACAATGAATGCAAAGGACAATGCGAATGTTTTGTATCCAAGCTCGACCATCAAGAAATTAACTAAGTCAGATGGATTAAAGAAAAGCCCATCGTGGTACCCTCCCCGACCCAACAAAAGACAATCCCCGTCAATTTACATTTAAAAAATTGATTTTCTTTATTTCTATGATTTTTTTAAAGTCTAGGTTTTTTTTTTATTTTTAACATTTAATAAGTTGTGGTCAGCCCCCATTTTTGTAAAATCGCCTTATTTAGAGTTGTGATACCTTTTGGGGGGATACCAAACATATTTGGGCATTGTATACGTTCCATCTATGTCGAGCAATTTTTATAAAAAACAAAAAATTCAAATAAAACAATCAATTCTTATATAAATCAACTGAAATTGAAACCACAAAATGTTAACATCATGATACGCAACGGTACTTAATATCAGCTTAATTTCAGAGGGTCAAATTTTACTCGACATATATGGTTATCTGTATACCTTCTATATACAGCGAGTAGATTTCGATATTTTGCTATGTATCCCAGAGTTTTTACTCAAATAATTTGAAACTTTAACCTCATATTGTTGATGTTTTAAGAAGGATATATACAAAGTTTCAGCTCAATACAACGATAAAAAATGTACTCGTTAACTCGACATATATGAAAATTTGTTTATCGAAAAATTTTCAAATTAATAAAAAGTATTAAACACGTTATAAACCACTGGTATCCGGACTTCTTTTTTTTTTTTTTTTTTGGTTTTTTTGACATCTGTTTAGGAGGTTAAAAAAGACGTCCCGAGAAGTAAGTTGTAAAAGAGAAAAATAAGAAAAAAATGTACTGTATTTCCAGCTATTTAAACTATTTTTGTTCCGGAAACTCTAATTTGAGCAATATTTTCGACTAAAGTGAGAACTACTTATACCAATATTAAGCAATCAGATATGTTTTCAGTCTTCGCGGTTTTACATTTTTAAAAACATAAAATCTGATCGCACTATGTATATATATATATATTAAAATGTGTAACTGCATTTGGCGCACTGCTGCATTGTTTTTAAAATCAACATAAGACTTTATGAAACCGCCATATATTTGGAAAAGTGCGCCTGTTAAGGCGAATCGACTTTACAAATTGTAAAAAGACAAACTCAATAGAGCAGCAGATAATGATTGTCTTCCATGATAACTAACAGAATAAGCTTTTATAAATATAGCAGATAAAAACAACCATCAGAAAATGCTTCATTTTAAGAACTCAATCAAATACCTCGGGTGGCAAACAAAAAAAAAAACAAAAAAAAGAAGAAAGACAAACATTGGTTTATAAAAAATAATCAATGCTATGCCCAACACGCAATTCAAATACTCTTCATTTATTTCCAGTTAATAATAGAATAACTTTCAAAACACCAGTTGTTTAAATCAGTGTCAACATTATATATTATTTGTGTGTTTAATTACGCTAAATGTCCTAGAAAATAGTTTCTAGGAGCAATCTACGAAGGTGTGAATTATTTGTACGCTGCATCCATTACCTTAATTTGTTACCACAATAACTATTATAAGTTACTACAGCTTCTAAGAACGCGTCAAGCCTAAGCTATATGGCAGATTTTTTTTAGCTCTTGATTACTTTCAAAGTTACATTCTGAGCTATGATCTTACATTGTTGCAAGGCATATGTGTCGAAAGAAACTTAGGCATTGGTACTAATATGTCGGAAGATTTTGAATTTTGTATCTAAATTATAGTTTTAATGAACGTATGTTTATATTTTTTGACTCGAGTTATCCGGATTACATTTTTTGGGCTTTGGACGAAGCATTCTTTTTAATTCAATTCGTCAAGTGTTAACAATGCCACCTCTTACGTAGTATAGATTGTTGCACATTCTTAAACATAAAGTTAATAGTGCGACTTGAAGTAGAATAAAACAAATATTACCTTCTCTGAATAGATTGTAAAAACGCACAGCCTTTTTGTGACTCAAAACTATATGTACGTGTACTATTAAGACAAGTTAAATACATATTATTGGTTAAATTAGGGACCCAACAGTATAACTCTTTAACTGTTCTTAAGCTTACAAAGCGATGTTATTTCTTATGGGTCCGTCTAAGAAAAGGTTTTCTCTTTTTGCATTGGCCACTGAAATTATTAATGAAGCCCTCAAAATATTGGCTTCTGATGAAATGTCTTGTTAGAATAGTAATATTAAAAACATTGACCTTTAATAACATTGATTACAAATAATACCAGTCTTTAATAAGGTAGACAAATGATAATATTGACATCTGCTAACATTGGTTATTCAATTTATATTGTGGTAAAGCGTGACTAATCAAATTAACTCCAAATGCAAATTACACTGAAAAGAATCAGTCCTGATATAATCGTAATGATCACATTCTGTCATCATTTTAAAAATACTAAAAATGTCTCGCCATTTTGACCTCTGTTTACAAATTTGGAAGATTGCCGAAAAATAGGTTAAAGAAATATTTCATCATTTATGTGCGTATTTGTAGTTGATAGAGGAGTTTTCATCAATTGTGTCGTCAAACTATATTAATTGTAACATGTAACTTTAATAAATGAAAAAAAATACTTGGGAGATCAAAGAAATTAAAAATAAAGGTATGTTGACGTCGTACAACATCAAAAAAAGAGTTTGTACTCCCAAAGTTCTGTTTGAAGAATATTCAACCCTAGAAATGGTTTTTGAATTTATTTGTAATTTTTGGCAATATGACGTCCCATAGTTATATTCTTCTAGTAAGTTACCGTACTTTTGCAGTTGTTATATACCAACATGTGGAAATAAATTTCTGTCTAAGTTAAGATGTATTTAGTTTATACTCTTTAGGCAGGTTCAAAATTATTGGTGGATCCAATTTGACTAATATTATTAAAAAAATATCAGATCATACTTTTACTTGCTTTTGCCTAATTTTTTTCCTATTGTATTTTATTATAGCATATATGGTTCAGTCCATCGTTTCCACATTTTTTGGAGTCTGTTTTCCAAACACTGTAGTATGTGACAAAGATAACGACGAGGTGTTTATTCAATTGTATGAAGCCTCCTCTGCGTAAGTATATTTTAAACCTACAACATTAAATATGCCACTAAAAGCCCGATACAAAAAAAAATTAAATTCAGCGTCGAAGTCATCACTACAATAGTCTTACTTGAAAAATGTGTACAAGAGTTTTTTCCAGGAGCTGACATCGAAGCATTTTTATGTAAAAAAGAGCCTTTGATGATGATGATAAATGGTGAAATGGAACAACAAGCGCTTGGCACTTCGTTTTAGGAAACCATTTTTGAAGAAAAATTTTATCTCAAATGCTTATCCGCATTTATTTTGCCTTGTGTTCGTTTAATTCAGGAACACATGAAAAGAATGGTGCATCCTGACGTATTTCCAAATCATTTTGAAGAAGGCATAAAAAATGGGTACTATATGGTCAGTCTCTCTTTTAATCAAACGTTTGGACCTCCCGAATTTCATGCAACAGAAGGTATTAATATATAAAAATAATAGGAATTAGGAATTGTAAAAAACAGTCACAAAGTTACCAATTTTTTGAGGGGATGCGGGGGGTTTGGGGGGAGGGGGAACCCCTCCACCCAAGAATACGGCCCATAATATTTTTCATTAAATTGTTACGTTCTTAAAAACGATAGTCCAATTTTTTTTTTTTGCAGCGTTGTGTTTTTAAATCATGATTTTTTTTATGGTGTAATACTTCTGAGCCGAGATACAAAGTTAGAGGCTGGAAAAACCCCTCCGAATAGGACCCATAATACTTTTATTAAACTGAAAAAGAGCTGATATAAAAATTGATTAATTTGGAGAAATTCATAATATAAAAAGTGACTTTTACAAAAAGTCATTGCAAAAAACAAATTGTTACTATGGAGGTTTCGGGGTAGATGTTCCCCTTTGCCCCAGTATAACAACCAATAGCATTAAGCATTATATTATCGAGGTTAGAGAAAAGTCTATGAACACTTTTTCACAAACAATATGTCATTACTCGAGAAGAACTGAAAAATTGTTTGTTTTAGGTCCATGAAGGGGTCGCCTTTGAAATTAATATTTTGGATTATGAAGTCTTTTGTTATGAAGCAAAAACATTGCGCATAAAATAGTTAATCAGATATATAAACAATTAATACTTTTTGCGTAGATCAACTCTCTAGCCTGGGTCTAGGGATATCGTTATTTATTTGAACATGTAATGAGAAACATCAAAGTTTTCTCCAGTGTCAAACTGATAATCAGGAGTGTAGCTTAAGCTAT